CCCCGCGGATCTTGTTTCTGGGGTGCATACTTTGGGAGTGGCGGCGGATGTACGAGAGCTGGGCTGGTCTCCCTCCCCACTGGCATGAGCAGCAGAGGTGGCCCCGGCGAGCTCGGCGACCGCGTAGATATTCCGGATGCTGACCTGGCCCCAGTCGTCTCTGCCGTAGGTGTCCGAGGTGGCCAGGCTGGAGCTGTCAGCGTCGGCCAGCTCAGGCAGGCAGAGAATGTCCTCGGGCGGGGTGTCGTAGGTGCCGCTGTTACTTTCAAAGGGCAGCTGCAGGAGGTAAATGAGGCGCTCCCAGGAGGTGAAGAGGTCTTCCCTCGCATCCAGGGGGGCACACAGCTGCAGGTAGAAAGAGCGGCCCGTGGCGAGCTTCAGGCGAAGCTGCTGTTTCTCGAGGTCGTGAACGGAGATCTGAACAAACTTCAAGGGGATGAGCCTGGTGAGCTCCAGGGGCTCCTCCGCCTTGCGGTTTTTCCTCTTGGGGGCCTGGCTGTCACAGCTGGTGGCCTGCCGGGCCAGGAGCATGACGTCGGGTATCGGGAGGATGGGGCTGGTGCAGGTCACGCCCACGGTCACAAAGTGCCCGCGGTTTTGCATATCTGTGAGCTTCCCGCGCTTGGTGATCTGCACGAAGTCGCTCTCAAAGATCGGGGCCGACCTGAACATGTGGTACTTGCCCTTGCGCAGCTCCCGCTGCAGCTTCCCCATGCTGGTGCCGGAAATGCTGGCCGCAGAGCCGCTCTTGGCTGTGTAGCAGGGTAACGGAGACTCACTGTTCGTGACCGTCTCCTGTTAGGACAGGGGCGCCGGCCAGGGGGCCCTGCGTCCTCTGCCTCGGTGTCCTGGGCAGATAAAGGGTCCCTGGTGATCCTGCGTCCCGAAGGTGACTACAGCAGGCCTCTCCTCCCCAGCCCAGCCCAGCCCACAGGCCCCTCCCGGCCTCAGAGCCCCGGGAGGGCAGGCGCGGGCTGAGGGTGACGGCAGGGAGCACTGACCAGGGCCCGGGGAGGGTGTCTAGACCTCAGACGGACTCTCTTCAGAGATGAAAAAAAACCTCCAGGAGGTTTTCTTCTGGATCAGCGTCCCTCACTTCCAGTCGAGATACTGTTTCTCTCTCCAGTAGGCTACAGTCTGCAGTCGGAGAAAAAGCTGCAAACGCCTTGGTCGGCAGCGCTGCACAGCTGTATTTATCCTCTCCTGCCTTTGTGACCTGTCCCTGTCACACCCCCCTTTGTTTCCACGCCCTGTGACCCCCACAAGGTCAGGACCCACCCTGTCAGGGACTCAGGTAGGCACCAAAATACTTTTTTTTAAAGAAAAAAAAAAAGGGAAATTT